GAATTATCTCCACTGATTGGAGAGGATAACGGTACCATTTATCTGTCTTTACTGATTGATCAGCACATATTGCCCTGTGTTATAGTTAACCATGGTACGCCACTGTGACTTTTTCAGGGCGTGAATGGTCCCCCAATAGTCCAGTGTCACTGGAGTGAGTGGATTGTTTGTGTAGGCTTAATAAACCGGCCAAATTGGCCAGCCGGCCGTAACAATTTGGACACATCCTAAGTTATTAGAGTACCCTTTCCTTCAGCTCCTGCCTCATGGATCCAATTTGGCTGCACAGATTTGATTTTGTGTCCTTTCCAATGAGATGTAGTCCAAATAAAAAAGGAAGAACCAGCCAGCTTAAGGTTATGGGACAGTTACAGAGATTGAGATTAAGACATGTCAATGTTATTTGGTCACTGCAGTCAGTTTGTTGAAAGAACTGTTACCATAGTGACGTGAGAACAAACCAATCTGCTTCTGTATGACAGACGATTTATGTAAACATCCAAAGGTGACAGTCTGACAGAATGGTTGATGGAGGCAGTCTGTACATGGGTGACAGTCTAACAGAATGGTTGAGGGAGGCAGTCTGTACATGGGTGACAGTCTGACAATGGGTGAGGGAGGCAGTCTGTACATGGGTGACAGTCTGACAGAATGGTTGAGGGAGGCAGTCTGTACATGGGTGACAGTCTGACAGAATGGTTGAGGGAGGCAGTCTGTACATGGGTGCCAGTCTGACAATGGGTGAGGGAGGCAGTCTGTACATGGGTGTTAGTCTGACAGAGAATGGGTGAGGGAGGCAGTCTGTACATGAGTGACAGTCTGACAGAGGATGGTTGAGGGAGGTAGCCTGTACATGGTTGACAGTCTGACAGAGGATGGGTGAGGGAGGCAATCTGTGCATGGGTGAGTCTGACAGAGGATGGGTGAGGGAGGCAGTCTGTACATGGGTGACAATCTGACAGAGAATGGGTGAGGGAGGCAGTCTGTACATGAGTGACAGTCTGACAGAGGATGGTTGAGGGAGGTAGCCTGTACATGGGTGACAGTCTGACAGAGAATGGGGGAGGGAGGCAGTCTGTACATGGGTGACAGTCTGACAATGGGTGAGGGAGGCAGTCTGTACATGGGTGTTAGTCTGACAGAGAATGGGTGAGGGAGGCAGTCTGTACATGAGTGACAGTCTGACAGAGGATGGTTGAGGGAGGTAGCCTGTACATGGTTGACAGTCTGACAGAGGATGGGTGAGGGAGGCAATCTGTGCATGGGTGAGTCTGACAGAGGATGGGTGAGGGAGGCAATCTGTACATGGGTGACAGTCTGCCAGAGAATAGTTGAGGGAGGCAGGCTGTACATGGGGGACAGTCTGACAGAGGATGGGTGAGGGAGGCAATCTGTATATGGGTGAGTCTGACAGAGGATGGGTGAGGGAGGCAGTCTGTACATGGGTGACAATCTGACAGAGAATGGGTGAGGGAGGCAGTCTGTACATGGGTGTTAGTCTGACAGAGAATGGGTGAGGGAGGCAGTCTGTACATGGGTTACAGTCTGACAGAATGGTTGAGGGAGGCAGTCTGTACATGGGTGACAGTCTGATAGAGAATAGTTGAGGGAGGCAGGCTGTACATGGGCGACAGTCTGACAGAGGATGGGAGAGGGAGGCAATCTGTACATGGGTGAGTCTGACAGAGGATGGGTGAGGGAGGCAGTCTGTATATGGGTGAGTCTGACAGAGGATGGGGGAGGGAGGCAGTCTGTACATGGGTGACAGTCTGACAATGGGTGAGGGAGGCAGTCTGTACATGGGTGACAATCTGACAGAGAATGGGTGAGGGAGGCAGTCTGTACATGGGTGACAATCTGACAGAGAATGGGTGAGGGAGGCAGTCTGTACATGGGTGACAATCTGACAGAGAATGGGTGAGGGAGGCAGTCTGTACATGGGTGACAGTCTGACAGAGGATGGGTGAGGGAGGCAATCTGTACATGGGTGAGTCTGACAGAGGATGGGTGAGGGAGGCAGTCTGTATATGGGTGAGTCTGACAGAGGATGGGTGAGGGAGGCAATCTGTACCCTTGTCACATTTTACATGTTATTTACAGATGCCAGATACAACATTCAAGGATGTCTGGCCCATTGATACTTCTTTCAACATATCCGGTATATGCCTATTACAGGCTACCTACATTGTAAGACTCCATTCAAATTCTGAAATTTGTGGTCCATGACTATGTATAAACACAACCTGGAGAACTTTTTAACTATTTATTAAGTTTGATTATACACTTTTATGGACAGATACGTATAAACATGTTAATTTGAGACGAAACAACAAATGCAGTAAAACAATATTGGTTACAAACCACTTGGGATCTAAAACGTTATGGCAGTTCAATATGGACATGTTTGTTGGAATATACATTGTATGACATAATAAATCGGAATTTTACAGGACGAAAAAAAATTGGGAAAATATTATAGCACATGGATCAATGAAAATGTCAAGGATTTTTTTCCATGTCACGGATTTGTGAGTCGTATTACCACATCTTGTGGATTTGGGAAAAATAATCACATGGATACAAATTTCATTCTACGTTAAACATTTCCAGGACTCTGTGGAACACTGGAAAAAGCAAGCCACCTTATATACACAGGTAATAGACACAACATATCCTATGCCTATATTCTAATATGTAATTACTAATTACATATTAGAATATAGGCATAGGATATGTTGTGTCTATTACCTGTGCTTATATAGTGCCTGTAGCATCATCAAAGGATTCATTTTTTAATCAATTTTGATGAGGTTTCACCCCAATTCTGAGACAATAACTCATTCTAAAACCTCCCTAGGTCTGGAGACTTCAGCATGAAATATTGGACTGTCGCTAAATTGAAATGACAGGCTTCTTCAGATCTATGATATTTCTACAGCCACGACACAGATTGAGTGATGCACCCATAGATACAGTGACTTGAAATCTCTTGCCCCTTGTTCATTTCATCTATGTTGGTGATAAAAATGTAAATGTATCCTGAAGAATTTGATAGCTATAGCCTGGTACACATGTATATTACCATTTCTGTGCACTTGAAAGTCGTTTTGTAGTCATTCAATCAATATCACTAGATTTATTTGTTACAATATGCCACAGTGCTTAACTATCTAGTCATTTGGTATTCAGACTTGGCTAAAGGAACTGTTAGTTCTATATCAGCCCTATCACTGACTCCGTAGTGTCAGGTTTTACTTCTCACTAAGTCATCTCTGTTTCTCCTATAGTAGCAATGTAAAGATTATTTTGTAAATTAGTGTTTTAAAAAAATGTAAAGGCACCTATTACCTATAGGTTTACTACGGAATAATATCTTGAAGTAATTGAAAATAGATATATACAGTTTAAATCATTTGAAATTTCGGGGCACCAGTGATTTGGTGAAAATAATAATTGACATCATACAACTTACAAGTAAATGATGAGTAATTACTTGGGAAATGTACATACATTTGGAGAGAAATTGTATCCTTTAACAGGATGTTGCCACTGTTCTCGGAAGAAAAGTAAAGGGGAAAAAGAGTAGTAATTGTAAAAATGTGTCTAGTCCCCGACATCATCATCGCAGGCTTGAGACAGTGATTTGTACTCTGGCCTACCGCTGTGTTAATTGCTGGCAGGGTTATCTGGGTAACGACCAGTGCTAATGTTGTAACGTTTACACTGATGATGGTAACTCTTCTATGACCTCCGCTCGCTGAAATTTCTACTTCATATGCATTACACACTGTTACGGCCGCTGATCTTGCATTTACATGCGTACTCATAATAAGACCACATCATCGGGTAATGACTTTCTTAAGGGATATTTATTTTGTGCACAGGGAATTCTAAATCAGTTTCATTTTCAGTAGATGGAATAGCCAATGTAGGATTGGGCAATTAGCAAAACTCATTTAATGGAATAGCCTTTCTTTAATTAGTCATGTGATGTGTTATTTACACGCCATTAGTCGGAACAATCCAACAGGGATGTGCAGTGGCAGTTCGAATGATTAAAACTACCTGGAGACGAGCTAATTTGCATAGTTGAGTGTTTAAGAATTGACAGTTGACATGGTAATGCATTTTCTGTAAAACTTTGGCCTTTTCTTAAGTGAAAATTGTACCAATGGGTTTGTACAGGCATATGATTTAAAGTACAAAGAATAGATAACTGCTATTGTAATTACATCAGATTAGGATCAGGCCAGGAGTTTTTAAAACATTTCATGACTTGATTGTTACGGGTAATTGGCTGATTTTACTCTTATCATTGTAAATATATTGTTTAAAAGGAATCTGCTTGAAATGCTTGTTATCTATGGCAATGATATAAAATAGTTATCAATTACCCTACAATTACATATAGGTATTTTGCAGTAGTAAGAATGGACACACTGGATTAAATATTTCAGTACATTACCAAAATGGGACAATTTGTTTTGCCTCAATTCAATATGGTAGAGAACCTAATAAGGATATTGGCTGATGGATGGGCCATGGGCATTCAGTAAGGATATTCAGTGAGGTGACAGACATTATATACAAACTGACCACTGTTTCTGGATATATACGCTGATGGATGGTTCCAGTACGTATACTAGAGAGGGAGATGTAAATCTGTTGAGAGGTTTCCAGTTTTTGGTAATAATTAAAGTATCTGTCTAACTTTTGACCCCAGAAGGTGCCATTTTGTTTTTCTTTCTACACTTACAGTTTGTGACAAATCTTGTATCAAGGTTATTTGTTGTTAAGGACTTCTAATTGTCCAGACTAAAGAGTTCGCCTGTACACAGAAAGTGCCTTGCAATCGACTAATGAGGTTCACTTGATTTAAATTCATATAATTTTATGTCAATATATTCAGAATATTTCATATAAAAAAACTTGATTTTCTTTCATTCTGCTTGAATGTGTTCATTTAACATCATGTTTTACAATATTTTTCGTCTTTTCAGGTAGTGGTATGACTACTGTCACCATGGATACTCATGGATGACCTTGTGTGACCTTGAGGATTGCCCAGGATGACCCTGTGACTACAGGAAAGACTACTGTGTTGTACCCACCTCGGACCTAATATTTAGACAAGAAACATCCACATTCCAACATGACGGATCACCAGGATTTAATCTCGGAGATTGCCTCCGTGGAGAAGATGCCCACGCAGGACAGACTTAAACATGCAAAAAAACGCAGATCCCAACAACTAAAAAAATGGGCAAACTACGAAAAACAAATTGAAAAGGACTCAAAACGTAAAAAATCAAAAAGCCAGCAGAGGAGGAGTGGGAATCGGGCTAGAGTGCGATTTCCTGGCAAGATAGTTCTCCTGGAGGCAGCAGCCAGGAATGATATTGATGACGGTAAGGATGACAGACAGTACACCTTAAAAGAATCAAGTTACGCAATCGTTTCTAAAATTGAAGAGTTATTAGAAGTTAATGAGACCATAGCCCTATTGCTCTACAGAGATTACTGAAACATAGGCTTGTCTGTAGACTTTAAGGCTTTAGTCGCCATTTTAGCGTGTACTTTAATTACCCGGTGTAATCCATACGTCTCCCGTCAAAATTTCGCATCACTGCATTCCTCTAAATGTGAACATAAAAAGTTTACTATGTCGTACTTACATATAAAGGTTACGAGTAAAGGTTCTTGGATTTGCTACAAGCTTATGTCGCACTAAACTAAGGTCGTTGATTTCTTACCTTCAAATGTCATGTTGAACGTGTCTGCTACACCCTTGTGTCGCACTAAACTAAGGTCGTTGACTTCTTACCTTCACATGTCATGTTGAACGTGTCTGCTACACCCTTGTGTCGCACTAAACTAAGGTCGTTGACTTCTTACCTTCACATGTCATGTTGAACGTGTCTAAAGTTATTATTTTTTCATTTTAAAATAAAATTAATTTGGTCTGCTGATCAATACTTCTGTACATTTAGTACATATTTTGGTGTTACTATAAGATTTCCGTCCTCGGCTACTGTAGGTTTCCTTACTCATGATATAATAGGCTGGTTACCTAACTGGTGTACTTGTGTAATTGGTGTGGTTGTGAAAATATGATCTGCAGGAATGATATGACACACTCTAAATTGCAATCTCTTTAAACTTTTCCTTATTTTGAGTCAAAATTGCAAAGATTCTAGCCGCGTAAATAACCTGCGATACGGTAATTAAAATGTTGCTTGTGTAATTACATGATTCGTCAATGATATTTTTTTATGTTTGACAATCATCAATTAACTTGAATAACATAATTATAATCATCAAGACAACTTCATCATTTTTTTGTGTCGCCTACGACGGATGTCGGAAAGACACATAGGCGTTGCTTTTCCTACAGCGGGGTCGGCGTCGTCAACAATGTTAAGCTTTTGAGTTTAGCTCTGTTTCTGACAAAGCTACACCAACAAAACCTCGATCATAGATGTAGCATTGGTAGTGGAGCCTACTGCACTAAAAACATTTCATTGATTTCTGCATTTCTTTGGTAAAAACCTCAAATTTATGGACTTAAAAAAAACCTCAACGTTAAGGTTTTGCGTTTAGCTCTTACATATTAGGCTGTTTCTGACAAAGTATAAATGCTAGAGCAACCAAACTTGGGTCATAGGTGTATCATGGGATGTATAGCTGAATGCATTACACTCTTTACTAGCATTTCAACGATTTCTGTATTGTTTTGCTAAAAGCCTCAAATTTCTGGACTTAGAAAAAAACTCAACGTTAAGGTTTTTCGTTTAGCTCTTGCATATTAGGCTCTTTTGGATAAAGTATAAGAGCTAGACCAACCAAACCTCAATCATACATGTATCATGGGTAGTAGAGCCTACTACTCTGAAAACATTTCATGGATTTCTGCACTTTTTCTGATAAAAACCTGAAATTTCTGGACTTTAAAAAAAATCAATGTTATGATTTTGCATTTCGGTCCGTTTCCTTATGGACAAAGCGTGGCAGGCGACACATATAATTATGCGTAATTCTTGTTTTTATTCAAAGATGAGGAGTTTAATTAAATTTACAACAGTTTTGAAACAAGCTATAAACTTGTACTTATCACTCTTGTGGGCCTGGACGATATATCTGTAGGGAAATTGGTGGAAACTAGTGTACTTGGCCAGGTTCGACCAAGAAATAAAACCTGCACAACAATCGTGGTGAATCGATGGCATTCATAGATAAGTCAGGGATTGTACATCAGACTAAGTCATTTTCGGGACAAAACTCTCTTCAAATGCGTTAATATTTTTATTAATTTCACAACGAAAATAAATCCTATTGCGGTGATGTCATATTAATCAAATTGCTGTGATATATCTATAAATCGTATTTGTTCGTCCAATTGTGTTTTGGCAATAAGCCAAGACTTAAGGCAATGACAAGATCATGCTATATGGTGGATGTACAGTAGAATCAAGCCAGACTCATGTATACATGTATATATAATCCTCATGCATTCATGAAAACAAGAAGGAAGAGAATCTGATTAAAGAAGTGAAGCATGAAGTTTGGAGATAAAGGCATTGGATTGGCCTTCTGTAGAGTGAACAGTACTAGTAACCACGATCAGGAGCCACCAACTTGAGGAGGAATGACCCTAGTACTATATCTAACATGGGGATGACCTCTCCTGGAGGAAGGCTAAATCATTGGAGGGACATCAAAGATGGATGTTGATGTATTTGTCTTGGCACACCATACACATCATTTTCAATATCTCTTTAAAGTGCCATTACTATTGCTATCATGCATACATAACTCACACTGTGGTCGAGGAGCAGGAAATGGCCTGCTGGTCGATAGTTCACTTGGTGGATCATTTGTAGGGTTCCAGTTTTATTGCTGAAAAGGACGTCCTCCACTATCACATTGACATTTGTATTTTACCAAATATGGCTTCAAACTAGATCTTTAGACTGGTGTCTCACATACTTGCCAACTTTTTAAAATTTCCAGCGGAGAGATTCGGAGTGTTCAAAATTAAAACATAAATATATAGTGTGTGTATCACCCCCTAGAGACAAAATAACCCTAAAATGACATATTTTGAGTGTTGTTCTTTCAGAGGAAATCACCAGATCTTAGAAGTTAATTACTAAATTTAAGGGTCCAAAATCGGGAGTCTCCTTCCTCCATAGGGAGAGTTGTTCAGTATGGTCTCATGATCGAGCTCACACTGTCTTGATTTATGAGCTGTCTGCTGTTACTAGGGCAGACATATATTTTATACCAGGAATCCTCTGTTTATTGGGAGACACATATATGGGGCTGTGTAAATGAATGACAAACCCGGATCTACTATCAGGGGACTGTGTGTTTATTCAGACCTATTTAAAGAGATTAATCTGCACAGTTATGTATATTTGTTATTATATATATTATTCTTACATTTGATGTACAGAGTCACAAATCCTCATAAATGTGGTGTTTGAATTACTTACCAACTGAAGTAAATATTAAGGAACTTTGAAGCCTGGACATAAATATTTTAGAATGATAATTCTAAAGAGCATTGAAAAAAAGACAAAAAATGTATCTTTACTGTTTTATGACGCCTTTTTAGGGAGCCAGAATAGGGTATGGTTGTTCCATGTACACAGCATAATTATACAGTCTTTATTCTGGTATGTGTCCATGGCAGGATATAGGACCCAGGCTTACACTAAGAACACCACTGAGAAATGATTTATTTACTTCCCATCAGAACGTTCACACAACGGCATAAGTGACCATCATTGGGTCATCTGTGGTGAATTAGGCCGGAGTCTACCCATGGGCCAATCAATAAACGAGGATGAGGGAGCATTTAACACCCTTATTAGGTTGGCAGCCATGACAGAGCAGGCAGATAGCCCCATATTCCCAGCCTGGTAGAACACTAATGGGGATGATTGAAAAGCAGCCCCATCCTTATAAATATGAATTACAGATTAGTGCCATGTATGGGAATTAGTTGCTGTGGTCACCGTCCACAGAGCATAAGTCGTGGATATCGGCCTCACATCTAACAGCCTTAATGACAGCCAATTTGACGAGCGCCGTGCATAAAACTAATGTATAGAACGTATTATGACAGTGATATATCATAACATTGCTACAATAAAACCGCATCAATGTGACTGTTTGCTAATATTCAGCTTTTAAAACTTGTGCAAACATAATACAAAATAAATGCAGTTTGCCACCACTACATATACTCACTGAGGATTGGAATGGGCCCCGAGAACCTATTAAACAATATTTCAATATTATCATCAACTGTGCTGTAACAATCGGTATTTATACATGCTTTGTAATAACTTCCTCCCCCTGGGCTCAGATAAAACGTGGCACCAGTACTAGTTCCGCAGGGAACACTAATATCAAAAGTAGACAAATCTCACACAGATTGCATAATATGCAAATGACAAAAAGTCATTTCTTTTCATTGAATTGAATTTCTGATGATTATATAGATTGAAAAGTAGCTTGTGATAAAGTTGACAAGTCGGACAGAAAGGATTATGTAAATGTTTATCACATATAAATAGGCTTAGGGGAAGCGCTTCCCAATATGTGTATATATGTATAAATTTAACTCGGAATACAACATAGATAAGCCGCGGCTGTTGGTTCTCCTCTACACTGCTTAATGTACAATGTATAAAGGAATGTGAGATTCAAGAATGATCACTTGTATTAAGTGTTTCAGTGTATACTGAAAACGGATTTAATAGAGCATTTCAAACAAAACAATAAATGAAAAAAGTTGGATTGATTTAAAATTATTAAAAGGTGTAAAATTCCCACATAAGTTTAATAAATATCAAATAGGAACTTGTAGGGGATTGAGTTTCTTTTCTATCAAAAAGGAAGTGTTATTATTTGACTCGTATTTCAGCGAGGTAGCACTACCGTATATATAAAGTTCCAGGCATCAGATCTGCACTATCATAATTAAAAAGAGGCGAATACCCCAACATACAGCCTCCAACACACATACACACATTTATCACAAACATGGAGGCAGGTCCTGAATGACCTTCGCTGTTAATATAGGATACGAAACCAAATCCAATCAAACTATTGCAGAAATAGTTCATTTAGTAACTCAACATGTTTGATACTAAACCAAATAAAATCAAACTATTGCAGAAATAGTTCATTTAGTCACTCAACATGTTTGATACTAAACCAAATAAAATCAAACTATTGCAGAAATAGTTCATTTAGTCACTCAACATGTTTGATACTAAACCAAATAAAATCAAACTATTGCAGAAATAGTTCATTTAGTAACTCAACATGTTTGATACTAAACCAAATAAAAACAAACTATTGCAGAAAGAGTTCATTTAGTAACTCAACATGTTTGATACTAAACCAAATAAAATCAAACTATTGCAGAAAGAGTTCATTTAGTCACTCAACATGTTTGATACTAAACCAAATAAAATCAAACTATTGCAGAAATAGTTCATTTAGTAACTCAACATGTTTGAAATTGGTCTGCCATATTGTAGCAAACTAGTATTCCACTGGATGTTACGTATCGGAAATTCAGAAACATTTAGGAAAAGATTTTTTGCAAATCAAAAATGTTAAAAAGTTCAAGTGTGTGTATTATTATTTTAGCTCACCTGGTCCGAAGGAACAAGGTGAGCTTATGCCATACCGTTGTGTACGTCAACAATTTCTTTAAACGACTTCTTCTTAACCACTGATTGGAATTTAACTAAATTTGACTGGAAGCATCCGTAGGTGGTGGGGATTCAAAATTGTACAAATGTTGGGGCTGACTCCCCAGGGGGCTGAGGGGCAGGGCCAAAAGGGGTCAATTTGGCTATATTGCTATAAGCGACCTCTTCTCTAGAACTAAAAAATGGATATCAACCATATTTGACTGGAAGCATCCCTAGGAGGTGGGGATTCAAAATTGTACAAATGATGGGGCTGACCCACCAGGGGGCTGAGGGGCAGGGCCAAAAGGGGTCAATTTGGCTATATTGCTATAAGCGACCTCTTCTCTAGAACTAAAAAATGGATATCAACCATATTTGACTGGAAGCATCTCTAGGTGGTGGGGATTAAAAACTGTACAAATGATGGGGCTGACCCCCCAGGGGGCTGAAGGGCAGGGCAAAAAGGGGGCAATTTGTCTATACTGCTTTAAGCGACTTCTTCTCTGGGACTAAGAGATGGATATCAACCATATTTGACTGGAAGCATCCCTAGGTGGTGGAAATTCAAAATTGTACAAATAATTGGGCTGACCCCCCAGGGGGCTGAGGGGCGGGGGCAAAAAGAGTTATTTGGCTATATTGCTTTAAGCGACTTCTTCTGTAGAACTATGTCATGGATATTGATCATATTTGGGTGGAAACATTCATGGGAGGCAGGGATTCAAAATTGTACAAATGGTTGGGATGACCCCCCAGCTAAGGGGCGGGGCCAAAAAAGTGTATTACTTGGAATTAGTTGAGATCCCCACCATAGAACCATGGTATATAATTGCTGAGTATAAGATTGCTCATTTGATTCCAGGATGGCACTAGGGTCTGGCCCCGCCCTTGGAGACATAGTCCCTGGGCCATAACTTTGAAATTGTTGAGATCCCCACCCCAAAACTATATATACAAATGCTGGGCATAAAGAGACGAATGCAGTCATATATCAGAATAGACCCTGGGGTCTGACCGAACCCCTAGGGACCTAGTTATTGTTGGACTTAAAGAGACAAATGCAGTCATGATATTAGAATTGATCCCAGGGTCTGCCCGACCTTTGCAGACTTAACCCCTGGGTCATAACTTTGAAACGGTTGAGATCCCCACCCCAAAACTATATATGCAAATGCTGGGCAAAAAGAGACAAATGCAGTCACGATATTAGAATTGATCCTGGGGTCTGGCCACAACCCTAGGGACGTACATGTAGTTTCTGAGTGAAAGCTTGGAAACAGTTGAGATCCCCACCCAATAACCATACATAAAATTGCTGGGCATGACAAAATCTAATACAGTTATGCTACAAGGATTGGCCTTGGGGTCTGGCATATTCCCTTGATCTCATTTGGAGAATATTTTGCCATGATTGCTAAGGTATCCAGGTGAGTGATACAGACCCTCTGGGCCTCTTGTTGAATTTCTGATACATATTTTGCTCTTTTATCCCTCTAGTGCGGAGACTTTTGACCCAGGGAGTGAACCCTAACTCGACCAATGAAGACGGACTAACAGCCCTTCACCAGGTATGTGTATTAGTAAAAACTCACTTCATCAAGTACAAGTACCTAATTATATACTTCCCAAAGATCAATTGAGATTTTATATGACCTTTGTGCATGCATGTCTACTTACTCATTTTCTGTAATTATAGCTTCTGATTCAATTACCCATCATGCAGTGTTTGAACATACTGATTTTTTTTCTTTTTGTCCTATAATTTTAGTAGAAATAATTCTAAATTTCTAACCAGAAATCTTTTGAATTCTCTTGCATGTCCTAAACAAAGTGTGATAGTTTTGTAACATGATACAACTAACAATCACGCCCCATGCTGTTCAAGTTCTATGAGAGTAGCAAATTTTCGGAGGCAAGTTAGGACATACACTCCGGCTAATTACTTGAACAGACTCATGATGGGCAAAAGTTCAGGTGCAGAAGGCTATTTAGATTTATTTTTATGTGTAATTAATTGAGATCTAGAGATGTAGTTTATTTTGTAATATGCTAATTTCATCAGAGATTATTTTACATGATGGCCCGGTAGATCTTGAATTCCAAAACATAAAACAAATCATGTTCTTACGTAGTTCAGAAATAAATGGTGTTTGTTAAGAGATTTGATGACCAGACATAAACCAGGGCTGACCAGACAGATCAGGGATAGAGCTGTACGGTAATCACACGTAATATAAGCTGGTTCCGACAACATTGTATAGTGTTGTGTTTTTGAACGTATTCGGAATCAAAATCGGCGGTACCCAGTTGTCTAGATAAACTCTAATCCTGTGGTCTTCTTCAATTCATTGATCCTGTATTCATCTGTGAGCCATAATGATTTGATTAGTGGACTTCACAATCACAAGTTCAAAATACGAATTTGAATTTTACTAGCTGCAGACATTATGAGATGAATCTTTACAAGGACAGATTGATATATAATAAGGCCATGTTATAACCACTGTTAGGAAGTTCATGGGTGGTAACCAGTACAATTCAGCAGAAATTAAATGAATCTAAAAACCCCGGCTATTCTGCCAACATTGCCTTAAACCTTTACAATTTTACCAATATTTCCAAAAACTTCCACAATTCTGCTGACCACACAAAAAACATACCTTTCTGCTGAAAATGCCAAAACCCCAATTATTTCGTTGACATTGCCAAAACCACTACCAATTTGCTGGCAATGCCAAAATCCTGATGTCACTCTGAAGACAAAGCCCAAACCCCCTACATGTAGTTACCACACCCTTGATGTAATGTTTCCCATTGTAGCTGATCTGATCAGGTTAAATTGCTCGTTCAAATTTTGAAATTTACATGACAATTTCACTGTGCTGTGAATTCAGCCATTAAAAGGTAATCTAGAAAATGTGTATATAATATACAAATTAAAAGAAAGGACAATCCAGATGGATGTGCAAAGTTGAGTAGACTTTCGATACAGGTGCCAGACGATTAACCTTGGGACACTGTCCTCTCCACACCTCCGGAGCGGTGATTGATGAAGGGAAGTGAGGCTGGATAGGTCCTCTTATAGTACATCTATTACACTCCAGTCTAAATCTGAAGCCCATTCATCTTCTCCAGGAATTTACCACAGAGCCAAATAAAAATATAAATAAAAATTGCACATTTAAATATAATAAGAATAACTGTCAAAATAAATCTGAGAAGTTTGATTTTAAAGCAGTGTAAGCTTAACCCTGCTTATTTAACCTTGATCATGTGACATTGACTTTACCTTTTCCATTTATGTGACAGATTACCCCTGTGTATTTTCCAGTGTTGTATAGATGACAGTGAAGAGATGCTGAAGCTTTTGTTGGAGTTTGGTGCCCTAGTGAATGCCCAAGACAGTGAGATGTGGACACCGCTACACGCTGCTGCCACCTGTGGGCACGTCCACCTCTGTAAACACCTCATAGACAAGTAAGTACTGATCTCTTATCTGTATGCCTTACTTACTGATATATACCATACTTACTGGCACTAACACCATATTTACTGGCCCTTACGGCTTACACCATATTTACCGGTCTGGTATATATACTATACTTACCATACAGGTTCATATACCATATTTACTGGCACATTAATCATATTTTCTGGTGCGGTATATATACAATATTCACTGGTACATATACTATATTGACTGGTACTTACCTCATATTTACTGGTTCAGGTACCATATTCACTGGTAAAAAGCCCACACTCATTAATAAGCCCACCAACTTGCACATTTTCACAATCTACCTGGGCCCAGGGAGCAAGAATTGGCTTATATAATTATATAAGGGGGTAGGGGGGTGGGGGTGGGTGNTCAAGTGTGACCATTTAAAACAGAATGTGGCTTGAAGACTCTTTCAAATTCTTCAAAAAATGTTGACGAAATAGGAGTTTTGATTAATTAATCAATGGAACAAGAAATTCATCGTGATCATAGAATTTGAGTTTGAGTATGAGAATGATTTCATGAATACGGGCCCAAATGTCCAGCTTTGATCTCTAGACGTTAATCTCTGCTTTAAAGTGTAAGAAATATTAATAATTGATTGGCCTGATCAGATCTGAGATATACATTTTTAATTTAGGAATTTTTGCTTTAACAAAATGTTTTAATGTAAAAAAACCTTTTTTGTAGTTGAAAAATGGAGTTTAACAAGTTTTTAAAGTTGTTACAACAACATGTTGAAGATATCAATGGGAGACAACTCTATATAATGTTGATGTATATGATAACAAGGGAGACTGCTCTAGACACTGATTACTCAAGGCTCACTTAATATGTTAGACTTGGAGTTGGTAAGACATCTGGCATGGTGGCCATGGGAGTCGCATAATATGTAAGATGTCATTTAGACTTGTGACATGGTGGGGATCAATTAAAAGTAGGAGTCTGTTTCAGTAAGATCGTCTGCTGGATATCCGAACTAGTCAGTAGTGAATCAGATGTCAGATAACACTATTAGTTGGCTCAGTTTCCTGGTTTATATATATTGCATGTTGACATGCATAGTGTAGTTAAGGAATGTTTAAAACTGGTTGTAAAGATCGTCACAGTTCTATATAATCACAGACATGTATATAACAGACTTATTGACAAACTCCGGTCCCTGGTACAGAGGCAGGCTTCCATACCAGATGGAACGAGGCCCTCAGATCATCATCAATTGTTCACCCTTCTTGACCATGTTGCTCACTGTCATTGGTCCATCAATAATTCTACACCTAAGTATTATTAGGGAGGCATTCACCTAGTCCGAGTCCCTGACCGATCGTATTTACTCTTGATGGATTTAACGGACATTAGCGTTTGCTGTGTGTTACAGGACACAGAAGTTTAGAGCTTCTTTTAATGAAAAAAAAGATAGATTAGACTGTACAAGTACCTTATAGGGCTGTTAAGTTATTCCTGTCCTGGGTCTATGTTACCTATCAAAGTGGAAGTGTACTATTATATCCTTAGCTGACATTACGTTACACCTACCAAAGTAGGAGTGTAACTTGTCATAACGTTGGCTCTCCTGATTTCTGTCAAATATCAAACACATGAACTTTGAACATTTCTTTAATCCTGAGTCGAAGAAACTTATGTCAGTCTGGCAGCTTCTTTGAAAAAATTCTGCTAAAACAACCAAATTTGACTTAATTAAATTATTATAGTCAAATGTATTAACAAACCATCTTCATGATCAGGTAGTGTAAAAAAAGTGGTATCTTAACACAGGTGGTCTCTTCACACAGGTGGTCTCTTAATACAGGTGGTCTCTTCATACAGGTGGTCTCTTAACACAGGTGGTCTCTAAATCAGGTGGTCTCTTAACACAAGTGGTCTCTTAACACAGGTGGTCTCTTAACACAGGTGATCTCTTAATACAGGTTCAGTTCACAGTGAAATCACTACCATAGGGATCATTTAAAGTGGTCTCTTAACACATGCAGGTGGTCTCTTAATACAGATGGTCTCTTAATACAGGTGGTCTCTGAACACAAGTGGTCTCTTAACACAGGTGGTCTCTTAACACAGGTGATCTATTAATACAGGTGGTCTCTTAATACAGGTTCAGTTCACAGTGAAATCACTACCATAGGGGTCATTTAAAGTGGTCTCTTAACACATGCAGGTGGTCTCTTAATACAGATGGTCTCTTAATACAGGTGGTCTCTTAAAACAGTTGGTCTCTTAATACAGGTGGTCTCTTAATACAGGTGGTCTCTTAATACAGTTGGTCTCTTAATACAGGTTCAGATCACAGTGAAATCAATACAATGGGGATCATTTAAAGTGGTCTCTTAACACATGCAGGTGGTCTCTTAATACAGGTGGTCTCTTTATACATGCAGGTGGTTTCTTAATACAGGTGGTCTCTTAATACAGTTGGTCTCATAATACAGGTGGTCTTTTAATACAGGTTCAGTTTGCAATGAAATCACTACCATAGGGAACATTAAGAGTGGTCTCTTACCAAAGTCGGTCACTTTGTAGAGAGGTATATGGTTGCATGACCAATCTTTGTTTATTTTAATAGGCTCAACTACCATACACAAACTCATCTGTAATAAATAACAATCCTGAATGGGGTCACAGTAAAATTTGGTTATAAGTTTGAGATGTATATTTTTTAAGAGGATTGATTACTAGCACGACCAACAACATTTACCGTAAACCCCTCATCATTCTGTCTCTGCAATTGTTTCCTATCCTATCTCGAACACTGCAATCAGGGCATTTTAGTACAAAGACGTAAAGCGTAAATAAAAGTCGTACTAACCTCACCATCCATATATTAGACCTTAACCTGATTGACCATAGCTATATTACCATGCTGACCCTTGGTATAGAAAACCAGCCTTATTTGAATATTGACGTTTTGAAATGTAGGTCAAATACCAAATGTTCAGAGTCAGCAAATCCATGATCAAATATATAATCGCGTAAAGGACAGGGGGAGTCTTGTTGATATGATATAGTAGTTGGATGTATATGTTTAGGACTCATTTTAAATCACAATTTTGTGGAATGCTCTTGCATAACCTTTCCATGAACTATCGTATATTGAGGGTCTTTTCTGACTCATATGAAGTGATTTCATTCAAAACTTTGACTACTCAGAAATACAAAAAGTCGTACTTTTTAATGATTACATGTGATTTGAGGGAGGGCTGAAATTTTAATTGCTATTTTGGGAAATATGTGGGTAAGAGTCTGCAGGAATATTTTCAGAATTAGCCCAGCATAAAAATTTAAAAAAATGTTATCGCTAAGTTTCTGATAATATGTTAAAAGAATTCTTAACTGCAATATTAACTGTGAATTTTTTGATTAAAAGAATCCCTCAGGTTAAGAATTTGAAATTGAAATATCTCTCTATAATTATATAATATGCCAAGTTATTATATTGCACAAGTTTTTAAAATTATATACATCTGTATGTATCTATATTTTTGGGGGGTAGCGATGGGTTGAGTGTGTAGGGGATAATTATCAGACTAGAATTATGAGAATATTTTGTTTCCTTTCTGTTTTTGCTGTGAGATGATAAACTCGCAAGTGGCGTAAGTGAGAGGTAGCGTTTCACTTATCCAGTCTGACCCCCTTAGAATAAAAGCAAGGCGATCTTTATATTTTCATTCCCAAAGTTTATTTACATAATTAAATATTTTACTAACAAACAAGCTAAATACTTACTATACAATAAAAGTTATCAATTCTATCTTGCACTTCATAATTTTCTGTTAACCATTTTCTTATTAATATATAGTAATTAATTTTTACTCATAATTATTCCTTATACAACATAAAACACTTCTTTTTCAATATTATCGCTTTTACATTTACAATTAAGAGGTGTACTATACAATACAACCATAGTGATGGTCAATTGTCTTACTGCTTGACCAATAAATGCAGAATTTCGCATCATGTGATCTTGATCACCAAGGGTCGGTTTGGTACCCTTGCTTTGGTGATAAGCCCGGGATCATAATTAACTGACCATGTCACTATGTTCTTGTTTAACCGTGTTATGTAAGAACAAGTTGAACGTGACTGTTTACATATAAATACATATATCAAAGTACAAAGTCTGAAAGTTCTGGACATCATGACCTTAGTGTTAGGTTGACATTACAATTACTAGTCGGCTTCATTGTGTACTTTCCTCAATCCTTTACAATCGTATTCCTAATGAGTGACTTTTTAATCTTTCAATTACGCCAAGACCTGGATTATAAACTGTATGAATCCTACGACCATTGGCGTTGGATTTTGTTTGATAATTCCATATACTGTATCAATAGCATGTAGGCTAAACTTGATTAACACAATAACACAATATTTTGATATACATATAAATTCTTCATAAAATTGTTACAATACAATAATCTCAATAAAAATATAAAATCCATCGTAATAGATGCATAGAATGAATTCTGAATTAATCAAGACAAGTTTGGGTGTATTTGTTTGAGGGCCGTGAGGGACGATGTGGGACGATGTACTGTCATCCTGTTGCCCCCATTGCCCAATTGATCCCATACATAATTAGTCTTGGTTGATGTCCGCCACAGAAGTAGAATGCCGCCATATTTTGTGATCATTGTGTGACAAAGTTAATCAAGTGCATAGCTCAGCTATTGATTTCTGAATTGAATAGCTTCATTGCAATACTGGCAGCTGAGAAGTATACACTGCGTCGACCTCATAAACCAGGGTGATTCCTCAAACCTTCCAACCACATTGTGTCTCGTTGGTAACACGCACAGATAATAGCCTCTAAAATCAAATTCTAAAACCTTTTATCGTTTCTTTTTTTTTAACCTATGTTAGATTAAGGTGCTTTTCATCAACAAAATCTGTATAAAGTTCTGTTTAAACTTAGAAAGCGTTAGTGATGAAAGTATGAAGCACTTAAAAAATGTAACAATAAGGTCCTTTTCATCAACACAATCTGTATCAAGTCCTGTTTAAACTCACAAAGCCTTGGTGATGAATGTATTAACACCCTTAAAAAACACTGAGACCTTATTTTTCAAAGACTATTTAAATCTCATAGTTTGATAATTATGTTTTTAAACTTTTCAATCATTGCTTTTCTTAGTTGAATTATGAAACTTGTCATTTCCATGATGAGTATTTCCAAGCGATCTACTTAAATCACCTCACATATTGTTTTGGTGAGGATTTTCATGATTCTTTTAATTTTTTGAAAAAATGTTGTTACAATTGTTAAGATAGTCATGCTTGTGAAGAAACTGGCAAACACAGTCTCTACTAAAATGAGAATCCATTGAAAGTGTAATTGATTCACATTAGGGAGCACCTATATAAGGAACAATGGAGTACTGGCTTCCTACTGGTAGTAACGAAGGGCGATTCAATCTAATGTGTATATCCCGGTAACAGCTAACGTACTGATGGCAATTGTTAAACACTGGATATAATATTACAGTCTTACTCCTCCTGGAGAAACCCGTGACGGATGTTGGTGCATAGCACATCTGCTGATGAATATTTTGCAAGGATGATAATCCGATTTTAGTTGAGTTAGCACATTTTGTGTGTGAATGGGGAGGATACAGATATGCTTAAAGATTTGTATTTCTAAATGTGAAATAGCAATATTTGAATTGAATTGTTAAAGTGAAATAATTGTTAAGATGATAATTTTGATATGAGCAGGTTAAGGTAGAATTCTGAATCATTTAAAGTTGTTTCAAATTCCCAACAAGCTTTAACAGAGTTTTCAATTTTGAGGCTGGATTATTTTTTTCTGGATTTGATTTGCTCTGTTTATTCAAAATGAGACAGATTCAGCAACAGAGGTGGTCTGTCAGTGTGACTGATTGTACAAACTCAGAGGATGGTCTCCTTTATTGGATTAAAGACACTGTAGGAGTACTTCTAAGTGAACGTTACAATAAATTAGAGAAAGGGTTGTAAGAGAGTTCTGTTAGGTTACATAGGGGGTAAGATAGATATAAAGGATGGGAGGTTAAGATAGGAGGGGG